GGCCAGGGACCCTGACTTCTCCCCGTGGGCAGCGCTGGACGAGTTCCCTCCTGGAACCCAGGATGGCGCGCGCGCGCAGGTCCGGGACGCCGCCGACCAAATCGTCCACAGCTTCGAGGGTACGGCCCCTCGGCTCGCGTTCGCGCTCGACTCCGACGAGGAGGGCGGTGACGACGGTGCGGACGACAGCGACGACGAGGCCGACAACCCGGGCGCGTCGGAGTGAGCCCCCAGGCCCCCGCCAATCTTAATAGCTTTTCCTTCTTCTTCCGAGGCCTTCGGGCCCCCTTCTTGTATAGACTGATTTAATCTGTAATCAAGTAAAGATGAAATTTTTGCGTCAGCTCTGTTTATTGTGTGTATGAGACGAGGATGGTCTGTGCCGCGGTCCTTCTGTGTCTTGGCTTGAACAAGGGCTCGTGCCCAGGCCCCAGCCTCAAACGGCGCGGGTCAGGGCTAGTGCCTGGGGAGATCCACGTGTCGAGACTGGCCAGGCCGGGAGCGCGGTGACCGAGGGTTATGGATGACCCAATTGTGGGCCTTTGCCGATTCCCCCCCGGAGTTCACCACGCCCCGGGGCACGGCTCGGTTCTGGGCCCCGTTTGGCGATTTTAGCCGGCCCGGGCCACCGAGGGCAGGGTCGAGCACGAGCGTGTTAATTCAAACCAAGATTCTTCAAAAGGAAACGATGGCACAGACACAATCCTCAGGAAATCGAAAATGCTTTTATTGAAATAAGGAAGAGAAAAAAGATAAGGATATGCATGTGGTAGCCCCCGGCCAACTCTACACGCCCGGGGGGGGGGGGGGTGCGGGGTTGGCCCGAGCCCGAGACATGACACCCGACCCCCACTAGGGGTAGAAGCGACGAAGGTGTTCGATGTTCCACGGGTTAGGCAGCTCTGTGCCGTCGGCCGTGGCCAGCCGAACGGAGCCCGGCCGGGGGACGCCGATCACTCGATACGGACCCTCCCATATTGGTGAGAGCTTGCTCAGTCCAGCACGCGTTTGGACGCGGCGTAGGACGAGGTCGTCGACGCAGAGTGATCGGGCCCGGACGTGGCGCTGATGGTAGCGCCGCAGGCTCTGCTGGTAGCGCGCGGCTCGGAGGGCCGCGCGCCGCCTTCGTTCTTCCAAGTAGTTGGTGGGCCGGAACCTTGGGGGCCAACGGACGTTCCGAAGGCTCGCCACAAAGGCTCGACAGCCGGCACCGCCAACCGGGGACACGGGGGGCCGGCCCCCGTGCCCGGACCGAAGTGGCGCTCCGGACGAGGAAGCGCCCTCCGTTGCATGGGCGGCGCGACGAGCGTCGCGCCGGCACTCGATATCGAGGCGGGCATCTGGCCCCCCACGCACATCTTCTTGGGTCGGAGGCGTTGATGAGGGAATGGCGGATGAACGGCGGGCAACGGCCGCCGCTCGCCGCGCCTTCCGCCTCGACGACATGGAGCCGGCGGCGGCAGCGCCAGAGGCCTCGGTAGCGGAGGACCGCCCGCCGGCGCCTAGGCGCTGCTGTGCCGTCATGACCAAGTCGGCCACGTCATCCAGCCAACGTCGGGCTGGAGTCTCTGGATCGGGGACGACGGGCGGGTGACGCAAGAGCGCGCCCGCAGCTTGGAGCGCGCCCTGGGGCGTGCTGCCATCGCCGTAGACGAGGAGGCGACGCTCCCCGTCTCGCCGTCCTTCTTCATCGCTCGTGGGCGGCGAAGTCGCTGATCTTTCGACCCCCTCGAGCGCCTCCTCCCGCCTAAGACTTTGGCAAGAGGGGGGCGGTGGAGTACGAGCTCGACGACGCGGGTTCTGCTCCCCGTCGTCACCGCTAGCGCTCGGAGAGAGGTTGTGCGCCACTGCCCGTTCAGCCATTGGGCTGAGCGGGAGAAGCTTGGCGCACACGAAAGAGGACGAGGGCTTAGAAAAACACACGCGCCCCCTACCTGGCGCGCTAGATGACGGAGCGTGGGGCTCCTCACCGGGAGACCGCGCGGGCCCCCCTTTGCCGGTTCGGCCAGGGGCGCTAGGTGAGGTTCTAAGCCCTCGATCTGTGGAATGTTTCGCGAGAGAGCAAATGCGCAAGACACGGGCGATGTAGACAGGTTCGGGCCGCTGAGAAGCGTAATACCCTACTCCTGTGTTCTGGTGGATCTGTGTATGAAGGAGTTACAAAGAGCTGGAGAGCAAGAGAGTTCAAACTCTAGAGACCCTCTTCCTCTTTCTCTTCTCTCCGAGCTCCCGTCTTCCCTTCTCTTCTCTCTCTTTTCGCCCCCCTTTCTTAAGTGGGCAAGATCCTCCTTTTATATCTAAGGGGATACCACATGCACCACTTCTACCTACTCTTCTTTTGGGTGGGGACTCACCCTATCTTCCAAAAAAAAAACTGGCTTGCGCCCTCGCCTAGAAGCTAAATCACAGCTTGTCTTTGAGTGAGGCCCAGCGTCATCACTCGCCTGACACCGGGGATCTCCCTGTTACTCCCTCATTAATGGGCGGAGATTTGCCATGGCTGCTGTCCGAATGACCCTCCGATGGGATGGGCCATACCTACCTCCACTCCGCCGGAAGCAGGCGCAACGTGGGAGCACGGTTGTCTGCCGATGACGTGACCGGCGTCAGACCAGTCACAAACCGGTCATTCTTGTCTACCACGCGTCAGTTTAGCATGCCACACGTCAGCCCTTTTTCATAAAATGACTTCCTTGTAATGGTTGCGATGAAGCCTGGTATGAATCTAGCCGGGACTGACGTGCTAACTCCAGGAGTTAACATGCCGGCTCCGGCTAGGGACGAGTGCCTAGAGGCTCTCATCATTCCGACGGGACGGGGCGAGGCGTGCGAAAGGCCGCCTGTTGCCACCTAACCCGCGATCTGACCGGTCTGTGACCGGTCACACACTGTGACCTGTCACGGACCGAACGAGTGTGCTGCGCTGCATTAAATGCGGCGTGGGGCGCTCGTCCAACCCGCAATAAACGCGGTTAGGTGAGCGCCGCTGTGCTCACCTAACCCACACACGTGGCGCCAAACCCGCAGGGGGTCGGGGCGCCCCAGCCCTCGGGGCCGAAACGGGAGCGGCCCAACCCCTCGGGGAGACAGAGGGAGGGGCGGCCACATCACCCTCGGGCCCGACCCCCCCCCCCCCCGAGGGGGTCAGGCCACGTGGGTGACCGCGGCTGCCCCAAACCTCTAGTCAAGATACCCCCGGTCCCATGTCACCGACACACCCCATCTTAAAATATAGTAAACTAAGATTGGATGGAATACATCTTAATACAACGAATTTAAACAGAGATATGTATCCCATATAATCCGTTGTTATATTTTGGAACGGGGGAGTAAGAGAAATTAAGGATATAGGAGTAAGGAGATAAATGACTAAAATGCCTCTAATAAGTGTTTCTTGGCTGTATGTGGATTAGGTAGTTGGAATAAGATAGAAAAAAATGAACTAGAGTTGATTGATGTGACCGTACACTACTCCAAGATAAATTTTTCTGGACGCCATCTTCTTTTGTTTCTATACGGCCCGTAAGTGGAACTGTATGAGAAAATAGAGGGACCGGTGCCAGACTGTCGCCCACACGGAAAAATGCATTTTCCCGTACGGGCGTCTTAATCCAACCGCACGGGATAATCCTCATTATCCCGTGCGGTCGACTTAAAAGAACCGCACGGGAAAATCGTTTTTCACGTGCGGACTTTTATTAGTGGACCGCACATAAAAATACCTCCCTCCTTTTCCTCCCACCCACTTCAAATTTTTTACATTCTCTTTCCCCTTTTTTTCCTTCTCACCCACTTCAAATTTTTCACACCCTCTCTCTTTCTTTTTCCTTTTTATTCTCACTGCTACACGCCTCTTTCCTCTCTCTCTCTCTGTAAACATCTGCCTCTTTCCTCTTTCCTCCCCTCCCCTTCCCTTCCCGGCGACGCCTTCGAGAGGATGGACGGCGAGACGCTCTCCTGGGCGGAGCCGGAGTGCGGCGACGAGTTCGCGCTTTTCTTCCTCGACAAGGCCGCCTGCACCACCGTCTCCGGCGCCATCTCCACGGTGACGGCCTCGCGGACAGGCTCGCCGGGCTGCGCGTGGCGAGGCAGGAGGGTGCCCCCGCCGGAGGTGACATCGCCGGCCGGCTTGCTGCGCTCAGCATAGGCCGGAGGCGACGATGAGCAGCGGCTGCGCGACGACGGGAGCGGCGGCGACGGCGAATGCTGGCGGAGGCGGAGCGGCGGCTGCGGCGACGCGGCTGTTGGCGACGGCGACGACGACGACGACGGGAGCGGCGGCGCGACGACGGCGACGACGACCATGGAGAGTGTCAGTGAGAGCTTCGATGGCATGAACAAGGCCAGTGCCATCGCCCACTGTTTAATGATCAGTGAACCACGTGATTTCTATCTATAATTTCAGTTTTTTTAGAATTTTCCGTTGTAATTTGCGAAAATGAAGGGACCATTAATTATGCCGATTTGCTGCTGCATCCACTGACCCATCCATCATCGTTCTTGTGTTAAGCCTGTTGCTGTTCCACACATGGCACTGCCAGGGTTGGTGTCGATTACCACAGCGACGACGACGGGATTGTTTCGATTTTATTTTTTTTTGTTCGTTTTTTTTTCTTGCGGGTGGTGAAACTGACCGCACGCGGTCGACTTAATACGACCGCACGGGATAATCGATTTTCCCGTGCGGTCGTGTTAAGTCGACCACAAGGGATAATCGATTATCCCGTGCGGTCAGCCGGCCCGCACGCGAAAGTACCGATTTTCTTAGACGAGGAGCTGCGGCGGGCCGAGTGACCGCACGGGATAATAAATCTAACTGCCCGGAAAAATGGTATTATAGTAGTGGTACTACTTAAAAAAATCCCTTACATTATCACATGTACACATCTCGATCACTATAGCACATCACGTACTCTTTTCGTTTTTAAATAAAACAACCAATAATTTATGATTCATTATACTACTATATTATATCAAATCAAATTCTATATTATTATATCTTTTTGATAGAGAGAGTATGCCCTTGTATAGTTATCAACTTTATCTTCAAACTTTCAACTTTTTCATCACATCAAATTTTCTTATACACATAAACTTCTAACTTTTTCGTCACATCAATCATTTCAATTTCAACCAAACTTTCAATTTTAACGTGAACTAAACACCCTTAATGTACAATTACCGAGCACAACACGTATGGTACGTACAAACACCAAAGCTCCGGTTGGACAAGCTAGGCCTAGCTAGGCGTGACACTGACACACATCAGACCACCACCAACCAAGCAGACAAACGTGTTTGCAACCGGGGGGAAGAAGGGAACCGCACGAGCCCACAACGCCGCGCGCGCGCGAGGGAACGAACCAGATCGATCTGCCGACACCGACACAAATCATTGGGCCGTCACTGCTGTTCCGTTGTCGTCGGGCTCGCCGGCACGACCGCCACGTGCAGCGGCGGCGGCCTTCTTCCACGCGCCACCGACGACGGCCTCGAACGCCTGGCGCGACGGGCCGCCCGGCGCCCGCGTGGCCTTGGCCGCCGCCTCCCGCAGCTCCCGCGCCTTCCTCCGCGCCGCGGCGCCCTTCTCCCCCGTGATGAGCTCCCTCGCCACCGCCGCCACCTCGTCCCGCGTCACCACCCCGTCCTCCCGGGCGTTGCTCGGCCGCAGCGCCAGCCCCGCGCGCGACGACGACAGCATCACGGCGTTCATCCTCTGCTCGGCGTAGAGCGGCCACGCCACCATCGGCACGCCCGCCGCCACGGTCTCCAGCGTCGAGTTCCACCCGCAGTGCGACACGAACCCGCCGACGGCGCGGTGGTTCAGGATCTCCACCTGCGGCGCCCACATCGGCACGGCGAGCCCGGTGCCTTTGGTCCTCTCGAGGAACCCCTCCGGCAGGTAGTTCGTCGGGCTGTCCTCGCCGTCGCCGTCGCCGCTAACGCTGAAGTAGCTGGCCGTCTTGTCCTTGTCGCTGGGGTAGCGCACCACCCATAGGAACCTCTGCCCGCTCGCCTCCAGCCCCGCCGCCACCTCGGCCGTCTGCTCGGTGGACAGCGTGCCGCCGCTGCCCAGACACACGTACAGCACAGACCCGTCCGGCTGGTCGTCGAGCCACCGTATGCAGGCGTCGTTCGCCGCCTTGCCGGAGGGCGACCGGACGAACGGGCCAACCGCGTAGGCCGGAGGGTACACGCCTTTGTCGGAGAGCTCCTTGAACGCCACAGCGGTGTCGTGCTCCATGGCGTCGAAGGTGTTGACGAGGAAGCCGTCGGCGCGGAGGTAGTCGAGCCCCATCTCGATCACGAGCCGGTACACGGGGTTGGCCCGGTCCTGCACGGGGTCGACGAGGTCGGAGCCGTGCAGCGGCACGCACCCCGGGAGGAGGACGGGGCCCGGGAGGTCGCGGAACTCGCAGGTGGTCGTCCGGTCGAGCACCGGGTTGTGGAGGAAGGAGGTGAGGCACATGAGGTTGGAGGTGCAGAAGACGTATCGCGGGATGCCGAGCTCGGCGGCCACGGCGAGCGCCCGCGGGCTGAGGAGGTCGGAGAGGAAGACGGCGACGCCCGCGGGGGAGTCGAGGAGGGAGCGGAGGAGGTCGCGGAGGTGCGGGAGCGCGCGGCGGACGACGGTGAGGATGCGGGTCTCGACGCGCGCGTCGGCGGGGAGGTCGTCGACGGACACCTCGGGGAGCGCGGCGATGGAGATGGACGGCGGGAGGGAGGAGAAGGTGGAGGAGTGCTCCGCCGAGGAGAAGTTGGTGTGGGTGACGATCGTGGCCGTGAAGCCGTCGTACTCGACGATGCGCCGGGCGAGCTCGGCCACCGGCAGAAGGTGGCCGGCGCCGGGGCTCGCCAGCAGCACGACGTGCTGACCGCGCCGCTCATTTCGCGCCGGAGCTGACTCTATTGCCATGACAGTATTCAGGAGGCTAGCTTGCTTAGCTACCCGTGTGTTTGTGTATTGCCGCTTGCTTAATACCGACCTATACTAATGCTACGTGCTTATATAGAGGTGGAAAGATAGTGACCTTACGTCCTCACGTGGGTATATATATATATATATATATATATATATATATATATATATATATATATCGGGCAAACCACATATCGTGGAAACTCGAAAATTATCGTTCGATAAAAAATGAATGTATGAGATTTGTCCATGTCATTATGAGTAAAAAATTTACTCCCGTGAGTAAATCTATCAATAAAATTTTTACTCGTGATGACGTAGACAAATCTCATATGTCAAATTTTCAATTCAATGGTAGTTCAATATATATATTCCCCTTTTCGTTTAGCACCACAAATATGGTCTCAGCCATCTCTTAATAAATTTTGATATAAGAGCTATTTCTTATATCTAGCGTTTTTTTAAGGGAGGAATGGAGAAATGGATTTTAAGCTGTAATAATATTATTGGCGGACGTGGAATTTGAAAGGTGGGGTACAAACTAGAAAAGAAGCATCAATACATTAAAAAAAAGTTCTTTATCAAGGAAAAATTATTACAAACTACAAAGTAAAATATTTTATGATCAAATATAGACGTTGATCTGGAGGGTTTTTTTTGCTACTTTCCAATTCTGGAATCAAATATAGCTGTTCTTAATCCACAAATCATATGCACATGTATTATACATAGCAAATTTAAATGTTTTTTTAAAAAACAAATTAGGTATAAGTTTATCCCGGATATGTCCCATGTCCTAGGCTATGAGATATCATTTCTTCTATGCGATTTAAATATCATTCATAGAACCTTTTCAAAAATAGAAAATATAAATTATTATGTTACATATATCTATTTAAAACAGCCTTGAAAGGAGACTACATGTTCGCTGTAGTGGCTAGAAATTACCACATTAATCGAAGAAAAAGAGAAAATCTACACCATTGAATTATGATAGATCTATAATTTAACCATTGAGATTGATTGTACAAATATAAAAAAGTAAGAGTCCTCAAACTTTTTAAAAGAAACTACGCAGCAAAAATTAAAAAGTCCAAGTTCTATTCGGACTATCAAATTCCAATCGGGCAAGGCTGACAAGGACAGCTAACAAGTTCTTTTTTCAAAAAAAAAAAAATCAGAGAAGCTCAGTAAAAATGGAAAATCAATCCTCTTGCTTGGTAGTCTGCCCGTTACAGCAATGGCTCATACAATTAATAATATATCCAAATATTATATAAGGATATCTAGAAATTACCAAATTAATAATAAGTAAAGAAAAAAATCTGCACCAATTCATGGTGGACATACTCCCTCTATCCCCCCTAAAAAGGGGGGCAAACTCTAGCTATGAATCTGGACATGAGATGTTATAATGGTTGAGATTGATTGCCCAGAAATAAGTACCGGACAAATCCTATGCACAAGATGTAAAAATACTAGAAAAATATAAAAATACTCGAAAACAAAACAAGAATCCATCTATTTGAATTCCCCATCGGACAAGGACTGCCAAAAGGCAAGCTCATTTTTAAATAGTATTTAGTTATTTTTAAAAAATCCACATTAATTGCATTCAAGTATGAATATAATATATAAATAACTGAAATTTATAATAAAAAACATAAATAACTAAATTAGAAAAATAAAAAAAAATTTCAAATAGGAATAAATTTATAAATAACTGGAATCTGAAATAAAAGTTATCACATTAATCAGCGAGAGAAAATAGAGTTTAAGTGGGAATAAAATTTAAAAATAACTAAAATTAAAATTAAAAGAAGAAAATATTTAAATAATTAACTGTCAATCTAGAGAATAACATGAGATAAATTAAATTCGAAATAAAAATAAAAGAAAATTCAAAATAGAAAAAAATAAAAGTTCAAGTACAAATACAATTAAAAATAACTAAAATCAGAAATAAAAAATATTGATAGAAAACTACCATATAGAATAAAAGATAAAATGAATTGTATTGTATTATTAAGACGACAAGACTAGAGTGGCAAAGGAGATGGACAATGACGGCTAGAGAAACTTCTACAAACTATTTAAAAAACAAAACCAAATAATGATCAGGTTCGATTTTTAAAATCGCAATAATAATAAAGATTTCTAATAGGAATAATTTAGAAATAATTAAAATTCAAAATTAAAATGAAGTATATTGAAAGAATAGTTCATATATGGTACAACACGAGATTAATTAAATAAACACTAATGATAACCATGTTTGATTTTGAAATCTCAATGACATTAAAGAGTGAGACATCGGGCGAGTCGTAGAGGAGTACAATGACAGCCACTAATGATTTGGCAGGACTTCTAGAAAGTAAAAAATGAACCCAATAACAATAAAAAGAGGAGGCAGCGGTCGTACAATAGACGAGTATAGTGATAGCGTTTGACGGGACAACAAACTATAATAACTATAAGGTCCAATTTTTAAAGTATCGGGACTTCTACAAAGTAAATAATAATAATAATAATAATAATAATAATAATAATAATAATAATAATAATAATAATAATAATAATAATAATAATGCCCGATTTAAAAATCTCAATGACAATACAGAGAGGAGGCAATGGGTGAGCCGTAGGGAAATACAGTGACAAAGCCGCTGACTGTTTGGCGGGACTTCTAGAAAGTAAAAAAATAAACCCAAATGATAATTATATTCAATTTTTAAAATCCCAATGACAATAAATAGATGAGGCATCGGATAGACCGTAGATGAGTATAATGACAACGTTTGACGGGACTTCTAAGAATTATAAAAACAAAACCTAACAAGAAAATAAACTCTACAAACCATAAGGTCTAATTTTTAAATGTTACAAAGAGATGAATGGTAGACCAAACAAGCAAAAAAAAAAGAAAAGAAAGAAGAGGTGACAGAAGTAAAGAGTAGCAACTGGTGTGTCTTTTAAAGACTACGAAAGTAGAAACACAAGGATGATAAGGTTTGGTCAATCAAATCCTTAAGTCAACGAGATAGCTATTTAATAAATTTTAAGTAAAATCATATTAAAAAAATGATTTTGTATGAGTGCTACCGCGCAATTGTGCGGGCCACCCAGTTAGTTATATATATAATCAAATTTAATCCACGCACGAAGAGACCGAAATAGCAAAAACCAATTACGAGAGTGCCAGCTCTTTCTGTTCTCTTGGATTGGATTTAAACTTATACTACAAACCACTAAAGTTGTATTGTAGCAAATTTAAGATGTGATTGGAGGTGGCTCAACTGCCCTAAAAGTAGGGGGTTGTTTTCATTCTTCCATTTTTTTTTCCTTGGGCGATCGTGGCTTCATAGGTTGGTGCAAATTAACGACATGGGAAGGGATTGTGGAAGGCCGAGCTACACAATCACAAAGGAAGGGGATCAAACCGATAGAAAATATTTTTGAAAATATCCATTTTTGAAAAAGATTTACGTTTATATACACTAGTATAAAGAATTTGTGAAAATATAACTAATCCGCATATCGGTTCCGCCGGAGCGCAACAAAAGTATGGCGTGACGGCGCGGAGTGGACGGCCAAGGCGTTCGCGCGGAATGGGGCAGCGGGACCGAGCCAGTCCCGCATGCCGGTAACGCGGAGCCAGTACGCTCCCGCAGCGCCAGTGTGCGGAACCGCGGCGCAACATTTTTTTACTGCGTGGCGCCGTGTTTAATACTGTTTGACACTGTTTCCAGTACTGTTTTACACTGTTCCCGTGTCAGTTCCGCACAATGGAGGGACACCGAGCATGAACAGTGTGTGAACAGTGCTGCACAGAGTCAAAACAGTGTATAAACTATGCTGCACAGTGCTGAAGTCGCTGGCCACTGCGGTTCCGCGTTTTGGAACCGCGGGACCGTCGTGGTTCCGCATTTTGGAGCTGCGGGACCATGACGGTTCCGCGCGCAGGGCCATCGATCCTGTGTTTTGAATCTACGGAACCGTCGCTGTCCCGCATGTATATAAACATATATTATTAAAAAAATAAGTATATTTGTAATTTTTTCCTCGGGTTATTAGTTTAATTTAACTTTAGTTTTTTTTTTACGATCGAGTGCCAATAGCTGTTGGAGGAGTCAATAATTAATAATACCAACATTTTCAAATTTAACAAAAACAATAGTAAATATAGCGCAAATTATCAACTTGATCGAGGTGGACCGATCTAGTGCTCGCCCCTCCCTGGCCATCCCCATGCCGAGCGTGTAGTAGCACTACTACACTAAATATTTTTTTGGACACCAGACTAGTTTGTTTCCAGGCGGCCCATAAGTGCAACCGCACAGAAAAATAAAAAAGGGCATCCGGACGTCGCGTGCGGGCTTGTTAAGTGTCCCGCACACGAAAATAGCCCACCCCACGCGCCCACCCTTATCCTCTCCCGTCACGGGCGCACCCTCCCCACCACCTCTCCATTCATCCTCCCTCTCCCTCTCCCTCTCCTCCTCCCCATCCTCCCATCTCCCTCTCCCTCCTCGGCGATGCCGGCGCCGTCGGTAAGGGAGGCGGAAGCGGCGGCATCAATGGCGGCGGCGGTGGCGGCGCGGCGGTGGAGGCACGAGATCCGGTGGGCGTCGGCCGTCCCCGCACGGATCTGGCGGCGACGGCCGTCCCCGCAAGGATCCGGCGGCCGGCCGCCCTCCCCCTGCCACGGATCCGGCCGCGGCTCCTCCCCTCCTCCCTCTCCTCTCCCCTCCCTGGTGACTAGAGCGCGCGGGCGGCGGATCCGGCAGGCGGCGACAACAGGCGGCCCGCGGCCGTCTGCGCACGGATCCGGCGGCAGTGGCCGTCCTCGCCCGGATCCGGCGACCGGCCGCCCTCCCCCCGCCACGGATCCGGCGTGGGAGGCCACCGGGAGGTGGCGCCGCCGCCGCCGCCAACGATGACGAGGCGGGAGTAGTGGCGACGACAACGACGACGAGGCGGGAGCGGCGGCGACGACCCGATCTAGGGTTTTCTTCTTTTTTTGAAATTTGTTTTTTTTGGTTTTTTGTTTTTCCGTGCGGGCAGCATAAGCAACCG